GTTTCCAGCAACTTTGATCGTCTATAAGAACAGTAAACTTTATAAAGCCTTTAATTTGGACAGTGGAAGGAAAATGCTCAGGAAACTAAGACTGGTTACAGAGGGAGGAGCATTGGATGGAACGGAGGAATCAGATAAAGAAGAAGAAGCTCAGAGTTCCACACGGAGAAAGGAAAGGAGTAAAAATGTCAAGGACATTTACAAGACAGCTGGACAGATAACAGATTTGGAGACGAGAGATACAGAAGGAGCTGGACTGACAGAGTTATGCTCACCTCAAACATTATTTGTTATTGGAGATGCGAAGGACAAGGAAGAGAATCAGAGACAAGAGAAAAAATCTTTAAGAGATCTGAAGGCAATGAATCTGCAGCAACTACGGGAATACGAGAAAGAAATTCGAGAACTGAAACGACAAAAGCTTAGAGAAGAACCAAAAAGAATGGAAACAAGATCCACTGTGGGGATATAAGAAAGAAGCATCCTAAAAATAATAGAACTGTGATAAATGGGGTTTAAGAACTTGCAGGAGGGGGGAGCTGGAGAAGGGCAACACAGCCACCAGGGGAGTCTGGGATGGAAGAGAACAGATGGAATTCTCTTTCAGGTCTTCCTCTGAGAGGGAGAGGAAGAAGACCGGACTCTGAGGGGATTGGGGGAGGGGGAGACAAGCAAACAGGGAAAAGGAACTACAGGAGGGTAATTGTAAACAATATCTTGTTATGGCTCAGTTTGTAATTGTCTCACATAATTGCAATGGCTTATCTGCTCAAAACCGAAAAGCAAGACTGATGAAAATGGTGAAAGATAACAAGGTGGATGTTCTATTTTTACAAGAATCACATAAAAGATTGCGGGATAGTACTCCACTATTTAATGACAGGATTTGGGGTCAAATTTATGAATCTCGAGGTTCAAATAGATCACGTGGTGTGGCTATTTTAATTAAAAACACATTAGATTTCCAGGTGGAAAAAGTAAAAAGGGATTCAGAGGGGAGGTGGGTAATGATAAAAGGAAACATAGGGAAAATTAGAATGACTTTGGTTTGTATATATGCCCCAAACAAAAACCAAAAAAGGTACATAAAACAAGTATTTAGAAAGGTGGATAAGTTTGCAGAAGGGGAATTGTTTTGCGCAGGAGATTACAATTTGGAATTAGTGTCAACAAGGCAAAATAATAATAGGAAATTAAATATAAGAGAATACAACATGCAGGACCTATTAGAAGGGGAATCAGAGAACAATAGATGGACTTATTATTCAGGAAGACATGATACATATAGTAAAATAGATTATATTTTGGGGAAAAATACAAACCAATCATTGATTCTAGAGGCAAAAACACTTCCAATATATTTGTCAGATCATGCACCATTAAGAGTAAAAGTAAAATTAGAAATAGAGAGAAAAGAAAGAACCTGGAGATATAATACAATTTTAAACAGTAGAGAGCAAGAATATGAAATGATAAGGAAAGAAATAATCAAGTATTTTGAGACCAATGATAATGGACAAGTAACTAAAGATATAATTTGGGATGCAAGCAAGGCTGTGATAAGGGGTCACTGTATAAGTTTAGAGGCAAATCTCAGAAGGAGATGGAGGAATGAACAAGATAAGATACTAAAAGAAATAGAAGTCTTGCAGGACAGACATAAAAGAACTAGGGATAGAAAGATCTGGATAGAATTAAAAGAGAAGAGAAAACAATTAGAAGCTTTTGAGGAAATGAATATAATGAATAAGTATTTATATGTTAAAAGTTATTCCCAAAGTTGGAATATAAAATCAATGAAGAGGATGGCTTACTATTTGAAAAAGAAAAAGGAAAAAACCTGGGTAAAGAAATTGAAAGATGAAAAAGGGAAAGAACAAGAGGAGCAAAGTAAAATTAGGGAGGTAATGGCAAAATATTATAAAGATTTATATAAGGAGGAGAGGGTAGTACAAGGGAACTTAAACATTAGAGAAAAAATTGCAGAGGAAGACAGAGAGTTATTAAATCAACCAATAACACAAGAGGAAATATTAGGGGTAATTAAAGGGTTAAAGGGAGCTAAGTCACCAGGGCCAGATGGATTCCCAGCGGAATATTATAAAGCATATATTGAAGAATTGGCACCACATTTAACAGAGTTGTTTAATGAAATATACACTAAGCAAAAAGTCCCACAAACCTGGAAGGTATCAGAAATTATTACTATACCAAAAAAGGGAAGAGATTTAACAGAACCAGGGTCATACAGGCCTATTAGTCTATGTAATCAGGATTACAAAATATTTACAAAAATTTTAGCGAAAAGATTGGAAACAATAATGCCAAAAATAATTAAAGAAGATCAATATGGATTTGTGAAGGGAAGAAAAATTGGGGATCCAATAAAAAATGTGGTAATCGCAATGAATCATGCAAATTTGAATAAGGAAAAAATTGGAATTCTTAAATTGGATGTTTACAAAGCCTTTGATAAGGTCAATCATAAATTTCTATTAAATGTATGTCAACAGTTGAATATGGGGGAAAACTTTTGTAAAACATTGCAGCAACTATATAGTAACTGCAAGGCAAGAGTAAGGGTTAACGACAGAAGGACAGGAGAGATACCCATTTTAAATGGTACAAAACAAGGATGTCCATTATCCCCCACTTTATTTGTAATAGCGATAGAAATACTAGCTGAAAGTATTAGGAATAGCACCAAGTGGACAGGATATAAAATAGAAAAGGAGGGAGGGGAAAAGGAAGAAATAAAGCTGAATCTCTTTGCTGATGATGCAATGATTATTACAAATCAACCATTAATCATGATAAAAGATATGATAAAAAAATTAGAAGAGTTTAAGAATATATCTGGATTATTTGTTAACATCAAAAAGTCAGAGATACTATGTATTAACACCCCACCAAAAGAACAATTGGAGATTAGGAAAATATCAGGATTAAAATTAGGATCAAAGAAGCTAAAATATTTAGGAATATGGGTATACAAAAATCCAAAGAGTATAGTTAAGGGGAATTACAAACAAAAGTGGAAAGTAATAGAGAAGCAACTTAAGAACTGGGAAGGGAAAACATTAACAAGAGTGGACAGAATAAGGGCATTGAAAATGTTCATAATACCGAAATTATTATATTTACTCCAAACCTTACCAAACACAGTAGAGAGGAAAACATTAAAGACATGGGACAGAAGAATAAGAATATGGGCAGTTGGCGGGAAAAGACCCAGAATAAGGGATAAATGGTTAAATGCAAAAGAAGAAGAGGGAGGCTGGGGGATCCCAAGTCTGGAAGTTTATCATGATGCATTTCAAATTCAAAGATTGCTGGAAATACAGTATACGGAAAAAAAATGGGTAAATATGGAGAAGATAATAAATAATATTAAAGGAAAAGAAATAATATTTAGGGAATGGAAGAGGAGAGAGGAAACAGAACTTAAGGAACCCTTTAAAGGAACAGTAAAAGTGTGGAAAAAAAGAAAGAAGAAGTTAAATCCAGGTAATGAGAATAAGATGGCAACTATATGGCAAATGAATTATAATAATGATGAAATGATAGGCAGAACATTGAGACTGATTGAAAGCAGAGGGAAAAGGTTAGTAGAGGATCTATATACAGAGGATGGAAACCCCGTAGAACAAAAAGAAATTCAGAATTGGATAGGGTCAGGGAATTGGATTCAAAGCTGGGCTATAAGACAGGAAATTTTTAGACGGAGGGGGAAAATTAGAGAACAGGATAGTCCATTTGAGAAGGTGATTAGGAAATGTTTGAGAGGGGAGAAGAAAGTGGCAGGAGATCTGTACGACCAAATTATAACAGTAAAAGAAGAAATAATAGAGGAAATTTTCCAAACATGGAGATTGGATATGGAAATTGAGAGGGAAGACATCCAAAGGGAAATAAGTAATATAGCAAAAGAAAAGTATAATGTATTAAGGGAAGCAAGAAGGAAAATGTTACAAAAATGGTACAGAACTCCTGCACAACTTTCACGCTTTGTACCAGGGATAAAGGATAGGTGTTGGCATGGCTGTGAACAAAGAGGGGTGTTTAATCATATGATATGGGAATGTGATCAAGTGCAAGAATACTGGAAAAGGATTGAAGGGGAAATCAATAGAATGTTAAACTTACAAATAGTAATAATTAATAGAAATATACTACATGCACGAATAGCAGGAGTGAAGAATATACAAAAGGAAAAAATGGTTGACAAATTAATCGCTTGTGCACAAATTGTTTTAGTGAGGGGTTGGAAAGACAAAACAAAATGGACGCTGATTAATTGGTATAACTATATAGTGAATATGTTAAATGTGGAAATAACAAATTGCAAATGGAATAATATAGATAAAATTGAAAAGGTTACAATAACTAAGAGGATGTGGGAACCAGTTCGGAATTATTTAGAGAATGTGTTAGGATGTGGAGCAGAAAAATTAAGACTGAGACTGATATTTCAAATGTAACTTCTGTAGTTTGATGTATAAATGGCATGTACAAGGAGGGGAGGGTGGGAGTGGGAAAAACCAATAAAACAATTTAAAAAAAATTGAAAGTAATGTAGTACAGTAGTGCCTGGGTTTCAGCTGTCCTGATGCATATTCAAATGGAGAGAGCAAGGATTGGCAGAATATAGCCTGGTTTGACTACAGTTCTCTGGTTCACCTGATTAGGACTCATGGGAGTTGTAGTCCATCCACATCTAAAGGGCTGCAATTTGCCAATGCTTGGGCTGGAATGCAGGTTCTTCAAAACTGGGATCGATTCTTCTCTGATGTCTTAGTCAACGTTTATAGTACATCTTCAGAGGAACGATAGGTTCTGGGCAAACGCTCAGACATCAAACTGGCCCAGTGGTCCGCTTTGTTCATCAATTTTCTAAAATAAAGGCCAAACTTACCAACAAGCAGCAGCCATTTGGGTAGACTATCCCTTTTGGGAAATGGATGCCTGCATGCTTTACTCAATCATTCTGTTCATTGCAGTGCGATGAAAAATGCATCAAAGCCCTCTTCCATATGGGGAAGGCATACTTAGCCCTGGAGAAGTACAGCAAGGTAAGACCCCCATTCAAATCTCAGATTCATGCCTGTTCTTATGTTTCCATTTATTCCTGTGCCAATATGGAGGGTCTACACTCACTTAGGATCTATTAATGTTTGGGAATCCTGGGTGGGGGATCATAAGGGGGTGTCAGGAACTATCAGGAAACAGTATTTTCTGTTGGTCATGGGGGTTCTGTGTGTGAAGTTTGGCCCAATTCTCTCCTTTATGGGGTTCAGAATACTCTTTGATTGTGGGTGAACTATGAATCCCAGTGGCTACAACACACAAATGTCAAGGTCTATTTTCTCCAAACTCCACCATTGTTCACATTTGAGCGTATTGAGGATTCATGCCAAGTTTGGTCCAGATCTATCATTGTTTGAGTCCACAGTGCTCTGGATGTAGGTGAACTATAACTCCAAAACTCAAGGTCAATGCCCACCTTTCCAGTATTTTCTGTTGGTCATGGGAGTTCTGTGTGCCAAGTTTGGTTCTATTCCATCACTGGTGGAGTTCAGAATGCTCTTTGATTATAGGTGAACTATAAATCCCAGCAACTACAACTCTCAAATGTCAAGGTCTATTTTCCCCAAACTCCACCAGTGTTCACATTTGGGTGCATTAAGGATCCATGCAAAATTTGGTCCAGATCCATCATTGTTTGAATCCACAGTGCTCTCTGGATGTCGGTGAACTACAACTGCAAAACTCAAGGTCAATGACCACCTTTTTTGTGCGTCATGGGAGTTCTGTGTGCCAAGTTTGGTTCAATTCCATTGTTGGTGGAGTCCAGAGTGCTCTTTGATTGTAAGTGAACTATAAATCCCACAACCACAACTCCCAAATGTCAAGGGCTATTTCCCCCAAATTCCACTAGTGTTCGCATTTGGGCATATTGGGGATTTGTGCCAAGTGTGGTCCAGATCCATCATTGTTTGTGTCCACAGTGCTCTCTGAATGTAGGTGAACTACAATCCCAAAACTCAAGGTCAATACCCACCAAACCCAGTATTTTCTGTTAGTCATGGGAGTTCTATGTCCAAATTTGGTTCAATTCCATCTTTGTTGAAGTTCAGAATGCTCTCAGCCCATTACGCAAAGTAAGCATTCGCAGTATAGTTGATTTTGCCCAGGGGCGCTCTTGAGGCGCTCTTGGGGAAAAATAGACCTTGACATATACGAGTTGTAGTTACTGGGATGTATAGTTCACCTACAATCAAAGAGCATTCTGAACTCCCCCAATGATGGAATTGAACCAAATATGGCACACAGAACTCCAATGACGAACAGAAAATATATATCAGTGATTGATTGGTTGGGTGGGGGGGGGGGTTCCAAAATACTGCTTGCTTACGTTGAAAATTACCTAGGGCCGCCTCTGCTCTTTGATTATCGGTGAACTATAAATCACAGCAACTACAACTCTCAAATGTCAAGGTCTATTTCCCCCAAACTCCACCAATGTTCACATTTGGGTGCATTGAGGATTCATGCAAAATTTGGTCCAGATCCATCATTGTTTGAATCCACAGTGCTCTCTAGGTGTCGGTGAACTACAACTCCAAAACTCATGGTCAATGACCACCTTTTTTGTTGGTCATGGGAGTTCTGTGTGCCAAGTTTGGTTCAATTCCATCATTGGTGGAGTCCAGAGTGCTCTTTGATTGTAAGTGAACTATAAATCCCACAACCACAACTTCCAAATGCCAAGGGCTATTTCCCCCAAATTCCACTAGTGTTTACATTTGGGCATATTGGGGATTCGTGCCAAGTTTTGTCCAGATCTATCATTGTTTGAGTCCACAGTGCTCTCTGGATATAGGTGAACTACAACTCCAAAACTCATGGTCAATGACAACCTTTTTTTTTTGTTGGTCATGGGAGTTCTGTGTGCCAAGTTTGGTTCAATTCCATCATTGCTGGAGTTCAGAATGCTTTTTGATTGTAGGTGAACTATAAATCCCAGCAACCTCAACTCCAAAATCCATCCCCTCTGCTGATACTATTTGCATTTTTCCAAGTGTACCTTTGTATTTGGCCTAGTGTTGGCCCTGGGCTACAACCTGAAGGAAATTTAGGAAGCCAAGAGGACAGTGATACAATTTGATTATGTGGAACTGTCACAATTGAATTTGGAATCTCCTTGATTTGCTCCTCCTCTCCTTGTGCTTTTTAGTCCAGAGAGTGCTACCTGAAGATTTTGGAAATCGACCCCCAAAAGGAGAAGCTGTGTAAAGGTAAGGGAAAGAGGACTTGTGCTTTTCTGTTGTTGTGGCGGTTACCCCAGGCATGGGCAAACCGGCTGTTAGGAATTGTGGGAGTTGAAGTCCAAAACACCTGGAGGGAGGGCGCAAGTTTGCCCATGCCTGTGTTACCCTCTTTCCAGCTGAAAGCCAAAAAGGGCTTCATGGGTTTGAAACGTATTTATTTATTTAAAGTTTTTATACCTCAGTCTTCTCAACCTCCGAGGAGGGACTCAGGCTGGCTTACAACATAAGAGTCAATACAATAAGAAAAACATTATAAATCATCAATATAAAATACATTAAAATACAATTATACAATTCATACAGGTTATTTCTCATGCCAGTAAAGTAATGCTCAAGATCCTGCAAGGAAGACTCCAGCAATACATGGAGCGAGAGTTGCCAGATGTTCAAGCTGGGTTTAGAAAAGGCAGAGGAACCAGAGACCAGATTGCCAATATCCGGATGCTGGATAATGGAGAAAGGCAGGGAGTTTCAGAAAAACATCTATTTCTGCTTCATTGACTCTTCTAAAGCCTTTGACTGTGTGGATCATAATAAATTGTGGCAAGTTCTTGGTGGGATGGGCATCCCAAGCCCCCTTCCCTCTCTCCTGAGGAATCTGTACAAGGACCAAGTAGCAACAGTCAGAACTGACCACGGAAAAACAGACTGGTTCAAGATTGGGAAAGGCGTACGGCAAGGCTGCATCCTCTCACCCAACCTTTTTAACTTGTATGCAGAACACATCATGCGATGTGCGGGGCTTGATGAATGCAAGGCTGGGGTGAAAATTGCTGGAAGAAACATTAACAACCTCAGATATGCAGATGACACCACTCTGATGGCCGAAAGCGAGGAGGAGCTGAGGAGCCTTCTAATCAAGGTGAAAGAAGAAAGCGCAAAAGCTGGTTGCAGCTAAACGTCAAAAAAACCAAGATTATGGCAACAAGAATGATTGACAACTGGAAAATAGAGGGAGAAACCGTGGAGGCCGTGACAGACTTTGTATTTCTAGGTGAAGATGAGTGCAGATGCAGACTGTGGCCAGGAAATCAGGAGACGCTTCCTTCTTGGGAGGAGAGCAATGTCCAGTCTCGATAAAATAGTGAAGAGTAGAGACATCAGACTGGCAACCAAGATCCATTGCTTAGTCAAAGCCATGGTCTTCCCTGTAGTCACCTACGGATGTGAGAGCTGGACCTTAGGGAAGGCTGAGCGAAAGAAAGAGATGCTTTTGAGCTGTGGTGTTGGAGGAAAGTTCTGAGAGTGCCTTGGACTGCGAGAAGATCCAACCAGTCCATCCTCCAGGAAATAAAGCCCGACTGCTCATTGGAGGGAAGGAGACTAGAGACAAAGTGGAAGTCCTTTGGCCACATCATGAGGAGACAGCAAAGCCTAGAGAAGACAATTATGCTGGGGAAAGTGGAAGGCAAAAGGAAGAGGGGCCGACCAAGGGCAAGATGGATGGATGGCATCCTTGAAGTGACTGGACTGACCTTGAAGGAGCTGGGCGTGGTGACGGCCGACAGGGAGCTCTGGCGTGGGCTGGTCCATGAGGTCATGAAGAGTCGGAGATGACTGAATGAACAACTACAACAGAGCAAAAATCAGTTCGTCCAAATGAATCACAAATTCATTGCCATCCACAAAAAAGGTCAGCATTTATTGACACAGTCATCATTCTGCAAATGCAGTATCCCAAAGCCATGTTTTTACCAGCTTTCTAAACGTCAGGAGGGAGGAGGCAGATCTAATCTCCATTGGGAGGGAGTTCCAAAGCCGAGGGGCCACCACCGAGAAGGCCCTGTCCCTCGTCCCCACCAAACGCGATTGCGAAGGCGGTGGGACCGAGAGCAGGGCCCCTCCAGAAGATCTTAATAACCTTGATGGTTCATAGGGGAGAATCTGTTCGGACAGGTAAATAGGGCCAGAGCCGTTTAGGGATTTATAGGTCAACACCAGCACTTTGAATTGTGCTCGGAAGCTGATTGGCAGCCAGTGGAGCTGGCGCAACAGAGGAGTAGTATGCTCCCTGTACCCCGCTCCTGTTAGTAATCTGGCTGCCGCTCATTGGACTAGTTGTAGCTTCTGGGCAGTCTTCAGAGGCAACCCCATGTAGAGAGCATAAGGATACAAACATAGGATTCGTATACTTATGCAAGTATCAACATCTCAAGCAGATCTCTGCTAGATTGAATCCCATTTGCATTTGATACACAGCTTGCACCCTCTTTCTTTCTCTGTCTTCCACTTGGGCTTCCAGGTTGCATCGAGGAAGTCGACGCGGAGGAAAAAACGAAGCGCGAGGAGCAGAGCGCCAAGGAGGCCTTTGAATCGGGGAAGAGCACAGCGGTCTTTGTGAGCCAGTTGCTGGAGAAGCTCAGCGTGCCTGATAACAGCCCCTCCTACTATGCAAAAAGGATCAGGATCTTGACCGCCGCAGTGCAAGATTGTGAGTAACTCTTATCGTGCTGCTGCAGAGAAATTGTGTGAGTTCTCATTATGGGAATGTAAAAAAATATTAGCCATGGGTTTTAGATTTGGGGAGGTGCTTTGCCCACCTGACACATATACTAGAAGCTTCAAAGATGTGTCCAGAGGAAGGCGACTAAAATGATCAAGGGTCTGGAGAACAAGCCCTATGAGGAGCGGCTTAAGGAGCTGGGCATGTTTAGCCTGAAGAAGAGGAGGCTGAGAGGAGATATGATAGCCATGGGGGACGATGCCTGGCTCGAGAGCAGTACGTGTGAAAAAGATCTTGGGGACCTTGTGGACAGCAAGTTAAACATGAGCCAACAATGTGATGTGGTGGCAAAAAAGCCAATGGGATTTTGGCCTGCATCAATAGGAGCATAGTGTCTAGATCTAGGGAAGTCATGCTCCCCATGCTCTATTCCGCTTTGGTTAGACCACTTTACCTGGAATATTGTGTCCAATTCTGGGCACCACAATTGAAGAGAGATATTGACAAGCTGGAATGTGTCCAGAGGAGGGCGACTAAAATGATCAAGGGTCTGGAGAACAAGCCCTATGAGGAGCGGCTTAGAGCTGGGCATGTTTAGCCTGAAGAAGAGAAGGCTGAGAGGAGATATGATAGCCATGTATAAATATGTGAGAGGAAGCCACAGGGAGGAGGGAGCAAGCTTGTTTTCTGCTTCCTTGGAGACTAGGACGCGGAACAATGGCTTCAAACTACAAGAGGAGATTCCATCTGAACATGAGGAAGAACTTCCTGACTGTGAGAGCCGTTCAGCAGTGGAACTCTCTGCCCCGAGTGTGGTGGAGGCTCCTTCTTTGGAAGCTTTTAAACAGGGGCTGGATGGCCATCTGTCAGGGGTGATTTGAATGCAATATTCCTGCTTCTTGGCAGAGGGTTGGACTGGATGGCCCATGAGGTCTCTTCCAACTCTTTGATTCTATGATTCTATGATAGAATTGAACCAAATGGTGCATATAGGACTCCCATGACCAATAGAAAACACCAGAAGAGTTCGGTGGGCACAGCTCTCACAGTCAGGAAGTTCTTCCTAATGTTGAGGTGGAATCTCCTTTCTTGTAGTTTGAAGCCATTGTTCCACCCTAGTCTCAAGGCAGCAGAAAACAAGCTTGCTCCCTCCTCCCTATGACTTCCTCTCACATATTTATACATGGCTATCATGTCTCCTCTCAGCCTTCTCTTCTTCAGGCTAAACATACCCAGCTCTTTAAGTCGCTCCTCATAGGGCTTGTTCTCCAGTTAATCATTTTAGTCGACCTCCTCTGGACACATTCCATTTTTCAATATCTCTTTTCAGTTGTGGTGCCCAGAATTGGACACAAGACAGGCAACCTATAGAATCATAGGATCCTAGAGTTGGAAGGGACCTCGTGGGCCCTCCACTCCATCCCCATTCTGCCAAGAAGCAGGAATATTGCATTCAAATCACCCCTGACAGATGGCCATCCAGCCTCTGTTTAAAAGCTTCCAAAGAAGGAGCCTCCACCACACTCCGGGGCAGAGAGTTTCACTGCTGAACAGCTCTCACAGTCAGGAAGTTCTTCCTCATGTTCAGATGGAATCTCCTTTCTTGTAGTTTGAAGCCATTGTTCCGCATCCTAGTCTCCAGGGCAGCAGAAAACAAGCTTGCTCCCCCCTCCCTGTAGCTTCCTCTCACATATTTATCCAGATTATAGTTTGAGGGTTGGGGTGTGTGGTAGTTGTGTTAATCCAGGCATAGGCAAACTTCAACCCTCCATCCTGATGTCTTGGACTTCAACTCCCACAATTCCTAACAGCAGGTAGCAGACCTATGCTAGTTTGAATTCCAGTAGGCTGCTAGGAGTCAGCTGCATTAAGATCACTACTGACCGAAAGGTCATGAGTTCGAAGCCAGCACGGGTTGGAGTGAGCTTCTGGCCAAAATTGTGTAGCTTGTTGTCGACCTTTGCAGCCTGAAAGACAGTTGCATCTGTCAAGTAGGAAATTTAGGTACCACTTATGTGGGGAGGCTAATTTAACTGATTTACGAGGCCATAAAAATCTCCAGGAAGTATGCAAAGAATGAGGAAGTACTTCATCAGTGTCACAAATGGACGGTGAAGCGACAGCTCCCTTGGTGGCCAGAAGCTGGAATGTTAAATAGCCTCTGAGTGTCTGTCTATATATGTTGCGTGTCTATGGCATTGAATGTTTGCCATGTATATGCACATTGTAATCCGCCCTGAGTCCTCTGCGGGGTGAGAAGGGTGGAATATAAATACTGTAAATAAATAAAATAAATAAATAAACGCCCAGTTTTGAGCAGACAGGAGAGCCTTATCTGAAGTGGATATCTTTCAATGTATTACAGGTACCGAGCAGACCTTGTTTCGGACAAACAATGGATTCAGTGTCATCAATGACAACGAGGTCATCAGACGGTAAGGGCTTTCATCAGCGGGAATGGTCGGGCGTTGCAGGACAAAGCAGGGAGGCAAGATGGTTGGCAAGAAACATAACCACCTGCCTGAAATTCAGAAGGCCTGATGAGCTGATAGTGAAGCAGCCGGTTGTGAAGCCGCCCTGACCTTTGTGTGTCCTCTGTGCGCCTACCTCAGATTTAACCTTTTAGATTTCCAAAACCTGAGAGGAAGAGCAGGTTAGAGACACACAACACGAATAGGATATAGACCAGGAATGGCAAACTTCGTCCCTCAAGTTATTTTGGACTTCAACTCCCACCATTCCTAACACTAGGTTGCATCCGGTGTCACATCTAGAGCAGGCATGGGCTAACTTGGGTCTTTCCTCCAGATGTTTTGGACTTCAACTTAAGCAGTTGAGGGGGGAAAGGAAAGGGCCCGGGGCTGTTAGGAATGGTGGGAGTTGAAGTCCAAAGCACCTGGAGGGAAGGCCCAAGTTGGCCGATGCCTTTGTTCTCTTGGAACTGGACACTTCAGTCAACCAAGGGATCATCTGCATACCCACCTTGTGGGAGCTGAAGTCCAAAACACCTGGAGGGACGAAGTTTATCCATGCCTGATTTAGACTCTGCCTGATTTAGACTTTGCTCTGGGCCAGAGCCAAAGCACTCAGATTGCTTTCGGCGGAAGTGTCCTCGCCAAAGGCAGCATATGCAGAGTTGCTTTACGCCAGAGGTGGATGAGAACTTCCCTTTGTGCCTTTGATAGCACCGCTGGAAGCTCTTTCCTCTCCTGGGTCTCTCTCATCTTTAGAATCAGGGGAGGAGGGGATATTCCTTCAGGATTTATCCTTTCATGACAGTCCTGCTAGTTGACTCAATTTGGCAAGTCAGGCACTGCGGCGATTCTTTAAGAGCTTTTTCAGTTCCCTAAATCTGATCAAAGACATGCTGAATTCACGTCTTTGGGAAAGCGGATCAAGGAGAGAGATTTGTGGCGTGTATAAATGGGAAATGTGTTTCTGAGTGAAAACAGTCAGTCCAGAAAACAGTAATGTCAAGATCACAGCATCTCCCTTGTGAGAGCAAATGAGAAAAACAGAGGTGGAGAAGTGTCAAAGCTTAGGGGTGAGCTTCTCTTGTGCTTCGGCTGATATTTCCTTCCTGCTTTGTTCAGAAATTTGGAAAAAATACGTTCTCTGAGATATTTGGAAACTCCTCACCACTCCTCTCTTACAAGGGTCATTGAGTAAATATTTCCCCTGATCCACTTCTATTTATCACAGGATGCTGAAACTGCACGTGTGTAACGGCTGATATTTCCTTCCTGCTTTGTTCAGAAATTTGGAAAAAATACGTTCTCTGAGATATTTGGAAACTCCTCACCACTCCTCTCTTACAAGGGTCATTGAGTAAATATTTCCCCTGATCCACTTCTATTTATCACAGGACGCTGAAACTGCACGTGTGTAATGATATCAGTCTCTATAGGTTACATGCCAATTTCCACTTAGAACTGAGAACGGTCTTGAGTTTTCAGGTGTGGAAGTGGTGTGAGGTTTGAGAATGGACCCAATGGAATACAGAACAGTCCTCAAGTTCCTTTACTTGAGAGGCCGCACACCAAAGGAGATGTTTGATGAAGGAAAGGGGTTGATGGTGAGGTTTCCCCATCTTATAATGGAGTCAAGAACTGGCATTGTCAATTCCAATGTGGTCTGTCTTCGGTGGAAACAGCTCCAATTCTAGGGCAACCCCACTCTGTTATTGATGAACACACCATCCAGCAAGTGGAGATCACCATTTTGGGAAATCTCTGCATAACCATTCACCACCTAGCCCAAAATGTCAAGATGAGTGTGGGGTCCATGGGAAAAAAACCATCCAAGACCATCTTCACATGCATAAGGTGTCCGCTCTCTGGATCCCCTGGCTGCTCACACCTTTCCAGAAGCAGGAACGAGTCAAATCCTCTCAGGCTCTCTTGATAATAATGTGCCATGGAAACCAGGAGGAATTTTTCAACAGATTGATCCCACAAGGTGAAAGCTGGGTCCCTCATTCTGATCCTGAGGCTCAAGTCCAGTCGATGCAATGGAACATCCTGGCTCACCTCCTCTAAAGAAGGCGCATGCCCAGTTCGCAGCAGGCAAGGCCATGCTCACAGGATTTTGGGACCAGCACGGAGTAGGATTGATGGATTTCCTAGCAAAGGGGACCAGGATCACTGAGGCAGACTAGGCTTCACTGCTGCAGAAATTGTGGGTGGCCATCAAAACCAAGAGTCAATGCTTACCAAAGGTGTCCACCTTCTGCAAGACAATGCACCAGTTCACAACTCCCATGTTGCCCAAATGGAAGAAGCATGCTCCCGTGGCTTTGAAATTCGACCACATCCCCCTTATCCACCCAACCTTGCACCATCGGACTTCCATCTCTTTCCAACAAGAAAGTTATTTGTGAAGAGCAAGCATATTTCAGAGGTTGAGACTCAGATTTCCAAAATCACAACGTGGCTTCTGGAGCAACCTGTTGACTTCTACAAGGGGTTTACAGTTGCTTAAAAAAATGAGAGAAGTGTGTGTCCCGAGGTGGTGCCCATGGAGAGAATGACTCAGAGCGGGGCCAAGTTTCATTGTTCTCAGTCCACAGGAAGTGGGACAGGGGAACATCTTTCATGAACTCCTCTTGTAGCTTTTGTTTAAACAGGGAAGGTATTACTAAATGTCCACCACAATCCCAATGATTCGGTCCTTTGGTGGACTTCCCTAGAAATGAAAATTTTGCAACATGGAATAGCTAAGTAAACAGCATCAACAGACTGAGCAATAGCGACCATACCTCGTGAAGGCGGATCTGGCCAGGGTGGTCCATGCCTTAGTCACCTCCAGATTGGACTACTGTAATGCACTCTACGTGGGGCTACCCTTGAAAATGGCCCGGAAATTCCAATTGGTCCAACGGGTGGCGGCCAGGTTGTTAACTGGTGCTCCTTACAGGGAGCGGTCAACCCTCCTGTTTAAGGATCCCCATTGGCTGCCATTCATTTTCCAGTCCCAATTCAAGGTGCAGGTTCTTACCTACAAAGCCCTGAACGGTTTGGGACCTGCCTACCTGCGTGGCCACATTTCTGTATACAAACCCACACGATCTCTTCGATCATCTGGAGAGGCCCTTCTCACGCTCCCACCTGCATCGCAAGCATGATTAGTGGGGATGAGAGAGAGGGCCTTCTCGGAGGTGGCTCCTCGACTCTGGAACTCACTCCCTAAGGACATCAGGCATGCCCCATCTCTGGCAGTCTTTAGGAGGAGCTTGAAAACATGGTTGTTCCAGTGTGCCTTCCCAGAATAATGAACCCTTAGCATTATGTCCTCCAAAAGCACTTTATATGGATTTAGGACTGCTTGTATGTCTCCTTCAACGCCCCACCTTCTTTGTTTTGTTCATGCCTAGCATTATTTTTTAAACTTCAATTACATTTGGCCCAGCCATAGATTTTAAATGTGCACTGTACCTTGTTTAATGTTTATGCTATTTGTGTATGAGATTTATTTTAATTGCTTTGTAATGTGTCTGTTATTGCTTGTATTGCCTGTATTGATGTCCCTTGAGTTCAGGCCCTGGCTTATATAGGGTAAACGGAAGCAGAACAATGGGCCACTAATTGCTGGCCTGCACTGCTGGCTAAAAGAATGTAGCCTCGCCCCGCCTCTCAAACAAAGCAACACTCAAAGCAGCTAATTTTAAACACTTACTCAGATTTCTAGTGCCCTCTAAGACAAGGCTTATCCTGAAGCAGAAGGGAACAAAATGGCTTCTTGCTTCCTCAACTTCTGTGATTCTATTGATTTTATGATGTGTTGTGGGCTTGGCCTCATGTAAGCTGCACCAAGTCCCTTGGGGAGATGGTAGCGGGGTATAAATAAAGTATTATTTATTATTATTATTACTATTATTATTATAGCTATTTCGCTCACTTGAATATCTGGCCTAATGAAGCATCTTGCATGGCCTCCATCAGTTCAAACTGCCCTTGGTCCAAATACAAGGCCATGCCTTGCTTGTTCCACGTTTCCTTTGCTTCGTGGAACCAACACACTTTCTAAGCTGGATATTTCCTTGAATCCTAAAGGACCCGTTTCTTTTCTAGGCTCCTCCGCTCCAAGACCAAATCACCTGCTGATGTGGAGCTGACTCTGTCCGTTCTCCTCTTATGGCAAGCTGTTTGCAAAGGGAATGGTAATCAACATGCATTTATTTCAATCTATTTCTAGTTAGACTTTGGCAGTGTGTTTGGGGAGTGTTGTTTTCCGTAAGCATCACCCCTGAGTGGTTCTGATTATGTAGTCCCTTCTTTGCTCTTCTTCAGGAAATGGATTGAACAAAGAGGTCCTTCTCCAGCTATCTTCATGGAGTTTTTTCCCGTTATGCCAGGGATCAGCATCATATTTGTGTCCCTTGACTGCACCTATTCAATTTCTTCTGGAAACTCACTGTGATTTGGCAGCAAATGGCTTGTGGGTCGCAAACCACCACTTTGAACAGCACTGGGGTAGAATGCATTACATTCGCTCTGTGAACGTAATGAGGCTTAATTCACTCTTCTTCCCATCTTCACTTCAAATGATGCTTGAAAGGTGGCATTACACGATCCATGAATTGTTTCTCATTCATATACGAGGGTGGGTCAAAAAGTTTTGCCTCCTATTTCGCTCATTCGTTACGAATGAACATACAACAGCAGAAGTTGTGCCAGATCATAATCTGAATTGTCCTCTATACAAAAATACTGTTCAACATAGTCACCATCCATTTGTACACATTTGTGCCATTGTTTAACTTAGGCACCAAAACCATTTTGGAAAAATTCAGGGTTTTGCGTAATGATCCATGATTTTAAAGCTGTTTCAACATCATTCAAGTCATTGAATCTGAAACCACGTAGGTTGTCTTTCAGAGGTCCAAAAAGGGAAAAGTCAGAAGGGGTGGATCCGAAGGGGACATAGATAGTGGCTAAAGGTACATTGTGACATGAATTATAAACCATGCATAGAGAAATAATATCGATGAAACAAAAATAATATAATACTCACAGCTATTCTTTGTTGAGCAATATACCCTGCAAGGAGTTTTATTCTGTGGCGAGTATAGGAACAAAATAACTTAACCCATTACTAATATAGCAAGTCCATTGGTCAGGTGATAGTGACATCATCATCAGTTCAGAATACATTGGGGTAAAACCTACTCTGTTATAAAAAGCAGTCATATGAATTGGTGTTATTTAACCCTTTTGGATGTTCTGTTTGCAGGGTAAAGATCCAGAAAGATTCCCGTTGTAAAAGTTTAGTTTGGAAGTCAGTGTCTCTGGGTGGAGTAACCACCTCTAAAATCTGTACTTGAAATGATTCAGGGCTTTGGTTCAGGTCCACAAAATGCTTATACAGGATGGAATCAGTAAATTTTTTCCTGATTTTACTTTTGTGCTCAATGATCCTGAGCTTGACTTCTCTGCTTGTTTGACCAATGTAAATAAGTGAGCAGGGACAGGTGATGGCATATACTACACTTTCAGTTGAGCAGGTAGCAAAATGATTGATTCTATACTGAGTTTTAGTGTGCTGGTTCTGAAAGAACTTAGTTTGTACAAACTGTGAACATATAGAACAGTGATGACAAGCATAGTTTCCTATTAGAATAGGTTTAGAGATCACTGGCTTAGGGTCTGTATCTGAGTGAATCAAAATATCCCTGATGTTTTGTGTTCTCTTATGAGCAATGGGGGGGGGGGGTCTCTCACAACCTGGTACATCTCTCATCAATTGGAAAAAGAAAAAACTAGATCAGTAGAATAAGGATCCCGGTCCTGGAGTTGTTGTTGTTGGCGGGATGGACTTAGCGGCTGCAGGAGAGGCTGGTGCGGCAGCCAGCAATGCGGCGCTCAAGCAGATCTATGATGAGGTGGCCGAGAAGTGCCAGAAGCTCTTCCAGGACTTCCTCGAAGAGTTCCAGAACAGTGATTGTGAAGTTAAATACTTGAGAGATGCCAAGGAATTAATTTGCCCAGAGAGAAACACACTAATTGTAAACTTTCAGGATCTGGAACAGTCTAATCACCATCCAGGAGGAGTTCTACAGAATCTATCCTTACTTATGTCGAGCTGTAAGGACATTTATCAGAGACCATGGAAATGTCCCTCCCAACAAGGACTTCTGAGTGGCTTTGCAAGACCTGCCTTCTAGGCACAAAATCCGAGAATTAACATCAGCTCGCATTGGCTCAGTAATGTGTATTAGCGAGCAGGTGGTTCGCACCCACCCTGTCCACCTGGAGCTGGTAAGTGGGACTTCCCCATTGTGGTCCCTGTGAATTGCACATATGGTATTTCTTGTGCCTGCACAGACAGTTTTGAATCTTCTAGAAAACGTATTAGACACTTTTAGGCAGTAGCCCCACCCACTCTCCCCTTGAGTGTATATATATAGCCAGTGGGAGAGGCTACTGCCTCAGATCCTTTCATCCGCCGCCATTGCAGCAGCTAGGAATCTTTCTCTCATTTTTCTTCATCTTTGACTTTGTCATATCATGCAGAGATAGTCCAGTAGCTGTGGAAGAAAGAATAGTTAGAGCAATGGAGGCATTACTTTTTGACTCACCCTCGTATGAGATGCTGGGTTCTCCTTTTACAAATGGCATGAGTGAGGCAATGGAGGAGGAATGAAGCCAGGAACAGTTTTCCTTCCCATTGCTTGAGCAGAGGACAGAGCAAGATTTTGGTCTCTGTGTGGTTTTGGGAACAGATACATGATTGCCAACAAGGACTTGTGGAAAGCTGAAACTATCTTTTACGTGGGTCGTTGTAGGTTTTTCGGGTTGTATGGCCATGTTCTAGAATAATAGAATCATAGAATCAAAGAGTTGGAAGAGACCTCATGGGCCATCCAATCCAACCCCCTGCCAAGAAGCAGGAATACTGCATTCAAATCACCCCTGACAGATGGCCATCCAGCCTCTGTTTAAAAGCTTCCAAAGAAGGAGCCTTCACACATTCTGGGGCAGAGAGTTCCACTGCTGAACGGCTCTCACAGTCAGGAAGTTCTTCCTCATGTTCAGATGGAATCTCCTCTCTTGTAGTTTGAAGCCATTGCTCCATTGCGTCCTAGTCTCCAGGGAAGCAGAAAACAAGCTTGCTCCCTCCTCCCTGTGGCTTCCTCTCACATATTTATACATGGCCCTCATCATGTCTCCTCTCAGCCTTCTTTTCTTCAGGCTAAACATGCCCAGCTCTTTAAGCCGCTCCTCATAGGACTTGTTCTCCAGACCCTTGATCATTTTAGTCGCCCTCCTCTGGACACATTCCAGCTTGTCAATATCTCTCTTGAATTGTGGTGCCCAGAATTGGACACAATATTCCAGGTGTGGTCTAACCAAAGCAGAATAGAGCATGGGGAGCATGACTTCCCTAGATCTAGACACTAGGCTCCTCTTGATGCAGGCCAAAATCCCATTGGCTTTTTTTGCCGCCACATCACATTCCTGGCTCATGTTTAACTTGTTGTCCACAAGGACTCCAAGATCTTTTTCACACGTACTGCTCTCGAGCCAGGCATTGTCCCCCATTCTGTATCTTTGCATTTTGTTTTTTCTGCCTAAGTGGAGTATCTTGCTTCTAGAACATGTCCATACAGCCCGATAAACCTACAAGAACCCAGTGATTCCGGCCATGAAACCCTTCAACAATCCATATCTTTCCTGTATGTGTGTGTGTTTTGCCCTGCAGAGGAGAACCAGCGCGTCCTTCTAACTCACCCCGATGTGAACTTGCAGCTTCCAAGCCTGTTGCTTTCGGAGAGCCCCGAAATCCAAGAGCAGTGCCTGGGTCTGCTCTCTCTCTATGCGGATACCGAGAGCGGGAGGAGCTTACTGGTCCGACACCTGGACACCACCAAGTAGAGTATTGCCTTTGAAAAATTACGCATCCCGTGTAAATTATGCATCAGATGAAGGCGAGATATAAATATATCAACAAAGGCATAGAAAGATATGTATTGCTTCCACCAGATTTGCTGCTTCCCCGCTTCCCTCTTGCATCCTACTGTTTGCCATCAAAACAAACACCTGCTCTGGCAAACTCCAATAAGGTTTCAGGAGCCAGAAAGAGTGGCGTAGGATTAGGAGAGGATCGTAATTTCTGCCCCGGTTGGATACCAGAGTTAACAACCCGATCTTGGCCTTGTTGCTGGGACTTAACATAATTTTCCTGCTGCCCCATTTTTGTGTTGGCAGAAATGGCGCATCGTATTCCAAGCCCTGATCACGATTCAGTCGCCTTTTAAGTTTACCTCTAGATTTGACTCCCTAAGCTTATGTTTCACTCCTCAATGTTTTTTTGGCAGAGGAAAAAAATATTTATTTACTAGCCGTCCCCTGCCACGCGTTGCTGTGGCCCAGTCTGTGTTTTGTGTGTGTGTATATGTGTGTATTTGTGTGTTTATATGTGTACATGTATATTGTGTATATGTGTATTTATGTATATGAGTGTATTTGTATATGTATATATGGTGTAGTTTTTGGGTTTTAAGTCTGTTCCACTGGGGTTTTGTGTGTGTGTGTGTTTAAGGGTGATGGACACTCGTTGGACTGCTAGCTGTATTGTGTCCAAATTTCGTGTCAATTGGTCCAGTGGTTTTGGAGTTATGTTAATCCCACAAACGAACATTACATTTTTATTTATATAGACTAGCTGTACCTGCCATGCGTTGCTGTGGCCAACCTTCCCTCTTTCTCTCCTTCTTTCCCTCCTTCCTTCACTCCTTCTTTCCTTCCTTCCTTCCTTCCTTCCTTCCTCTCTCTTTCCTTCCCTCCCTCTTTCTCTCCTTCTTTCTTTCCTTCCTTCGCTCCCTCTTTCCTTCCTTCCCTTTTTTCTTCCTTCTCTATCTCTTTCCTTTCTTTCTCCCATTTTCTTTTCCTTCCATTTCTTTCCTTCCTTCGCTCTTGCTTCCATGCTTCTTTCTCTCTCTCTCTCTTTCCCTCTTTCTTTCTTTCTCTCTCTCTCTCTTTCTACCCTTCCTTCCCTTCCTCTTTCTTCCTTTTTTCTGTATTGTCACTTAGCTTTTTTGGGTTTTTTTTTCTCTCCTCCCTCCCTCCCCTACCTCTCTCCTTCCATCTTTGCTTCCATCTCCCTTTCCTTCTTTCCCTCCCTCTTTCTTTCTTTTCTCCCCTCCCTCTTTCTTCCTTTTTTCTGTATTGTCATTTAGCTTTTTGGGGCTTTTAAAGTCCCTTCTGCTGTGTTTTTCAGTGTTTTTATGAGTGAAGGACATACATTGGGTTGTTAGGTGTCTTGTGTCCAAATTTGGTGTCAATTCCCCCAGTGGTTTTTGAGTTCTGTTAATCCCACAAACGAACATTACATTTTTATTTATATAGATTTATTTATTTACAGTATTTATATTCCGCCCTTCTAACTCTGCAGGGGACTCAGGGTTTACAATGCACATATACATGGCAAACATTCAATGCCATAAACATACAGCATATATAGACAAACATAGAGGCAATTTAACATTCCAGGTTTCCGGCTTCATGAGGGTATGCTTCATTCTGGCCACAGGGGGAGCTGCCACTTCACCGTCCACTTGTGGCACCGAGTCCTTGATGGAGTACTTTCTCATTCTTACGCACACTGCTGGAAAATGTTTTCTCTGGTGTCGTAAATTACTGTATATACTCGAGTATAAGCCTAGTTTTTCAGCCCTTTTTTAGGGTGAAAATGTCCCCCTCGGCTTATACTCGAGTTAAGGTTATTTATTATTTTACTCTGTTGTTGTTGTTGTTGTTATTATTATTATTTTCATTTATTATTTTATTCTATTTATTATTATTACATTTATCATTTTACTCTACTATTATACATGTATTATTTTACTGTATAATTGTCGTTATTGCTACATTCATTATTTTACTCTTTTTATTATTATTGTTATTATTACATTTATTATGTTACTCTCTTTATTATAATTGGAAGGATATGTAAGCACATTTACACTGAAGAAGGTAAATAATCATTTAATCAGAGTTGGACAGTCTTATCTTAAATTACCATTTTTTGTAAATATTCAAAAATATATAATCTATTGATTTCTCAATTAATGTAATTTAATTGGTATCTATTTTTATTTTGCAATTTACCAGTAGCTGCTGAATTTCCCACCCTTGGCTTATACTCGAGTCAATCTGTTTTCTCAGTTTTTTGTGGTAAAATTAAGTGTCTCGGCTTATATTCGGGTCAGCTTATACTAGAGTATATACGGTAGTGAAATTAGCCTCCTCGCATAAAGCGGTACCTAAATTTCCTACTTGACAGATGCAACTGTCTATCGGGCTGCATAGGTGAACAGCAAGCTAGACTATTAATGGACGGGAGCTTACTCTGACTCTGGTTTTGAACTCATGACCTCTTGGTCAGTAGTGATTTTATTGCAGCTGGCTACTAACTAACTGTGCCACAGCTATTAATCCAGTCTTGCAGGCAGGGATGGCATACTAAAGCATCTTTGGGGAAAACAGGGAGCCTGGTTTTCTTTAAATATTCTTCCTCGGCAGCCTCCTTGATCTCTCTCTCTCTTTCTGATAGTTTTCATGCCTTACTGCTAAGCTGGTTGCCGCAGAAAAGGCTGATAACAATTGCTGGAGGTCTGAACGGATGGTATTGCTGAGGGCTGCAAGTTAATCTTGCCTGATCTGTAAGAAAACTAAAACGCAAAATAGCATATACTTGGCCTTAGCTTCTTCAGGAAAGCATAGGCAATCCCTTTTCCCCCTTCCGGCTACAGGTTTGCCAGTTACAAAGCAAGGAAACCATCCCAGGCAAAAAAGCAGAGACTGCCTCCGGGGAAAACACGTACTAATTGTCTAATTAAAAACAAATGGCTTTGTCCTTCTATGCCGAAAGCTTTGCCAGCAGTTAAAAAAGAGTTCACTGCATTGAAGCAGTCTTAGTCTTGCTGCTATAGTCTGAATTTGTGCTCATTACTTTAGCAAAGCCAGTTAGAAATTTTCCACATTTCTACATCGCAATGCTGTATAGAGCAGCATTTTGCAAAAGGTATTAGTTGAGGTACGAAAACAGTTCAAAAACATGCAAATGTGAGTAGATCAATAGGTACCACTTCGGTGGGAAGGTAAAGGCGCTCCATGCAGTCATGCTGGCTAGTGGCTACATGACCTTGGAGGTGTCTATGGACAACGCTGGCTCTTCAGCTTAGAAATGGAGATGAGCACCAACCCCAGAGTCGGACACGACTAGACTTAATGTCAGGGGAAACCTTTACCTTTAATACTTCAGTCTAAAGTTTTAATGTTTCACTCATGAAACAAGCTGAAAAAGTGGTGCTTACCAAGCCTTATCAGTGATAACTGGGGTTTTTGTTGTAAGGTTTTTTCCGGGCTATATGGGCCATGTTTCAGAAGAATATGTTTTTTTCTGTATTGTTGGAACTAGGAAAATGGGTTTATATATCTGTGGAAAGACCAGGTTGGGACAAAGGACTTTTGTCTGCTGGAGCTAAGCGTGAATGTTTCAACTGACCACCTTGATTAGAATTTAATGGCTTGGAAGTGCCTGGGGGAATCTTTCTTTGAGAGGTGATTTGATGTGCCTGATTGTTTACTCTCTGTTGTTTTGCTGTTGTAATTTTAGAGTTTTTTTAATACTGGTAGCCAGATTTTGTTCATTTTCATGGTTTCCTCCTTTCTGTTGAAATTGTCCACATGCTTGTGGATTTCAATGGCTTCTCTGTGTAGTCTGACATGGTGGTTGTGAGAGTGATCCAGCGCTTCTGTGTTCTCAAATAATACATTGTGTCCAGGTTGGTTCATCAGGTGCTCCGCTATGGCTGACTTCTCTGGTTGAAGTAGTCTGCAGTGCCTTTCGTGTTCAGTATAACTGTTTGTGATTAACATAAACTGGAGAGTAAAGGAAACACTTGTGTTTACCTAGCTGTTGAGGCAGACCTCACATCAATGAGTCGACATTTGGAACATCAAGATCATGCTTCTGTCTTTATTTGGAGACATTGACATTCAGGATAATTCCTAGAATTGTAGTGTCACCATAGAGCAGGCAAGTGTTTTGGACTTCAACTCCCACAATTCCTAACAACCTAAGGCCCCTTCCTTTCCCTTTTACCTTTCCTTTTCTGCTTAAGTGGCTGAGGGGGAAAAAGGAAGGGGCTTGGGGCTGTTAGGAATCGTGGGAGTTGAAGTCCAAAACACCCAGAGGGCCCAAGTTTGACCATGCCTGCTAAAGAGATACAAGGGAACAAAAGGGTTGTTTTACTTAGCTTTGCTACTTTGAGTGCTCAGAAGATGAGGAAGGGGATGCTTGGATAGATTCAGAGGGCCTAGAGGAGGACAAAAGTGGCCTAGAAAGAGTTGTTTTGGAATGGTCAGGCTGAGAAGGGCAGTATATAAATATGGTAAATCTCTATAAATAAAAATGTAATGTTCATTTGTGCTATTCACAGAACTCAGATGCCTTCACTGTATCTGGTTGTGATCCTCAGGTTGTGCCAGTCAGCTTTCGTATGATATTATTTCTAGCGCCCAATTTTTGCTTGATATTCAGGTAGTTTTTCTTGTAGGTCAGAGCACGGTCCAGGGTAACTCCCAGGTATTTGGGAGTGCGGCAATGCTCCAGTGAATTCCTTCCCAGGTCATCCTCAGAGCTCGAGATGCTTGTCTTTTCTTAAGATGATGTTTTAGATGGATTAGGGATCAGCTGGTTTTCCCTATAATAGGCAGGAAGAGCACCTAGATCTTCGGAGAGCTTCTGCTCAACCATCTCAAAGCTCCCTGCTTTGAGATGGTTGAACATTGTTGAACATTGATGGAGTAAGCATGCTTCCCTGAGGCAGGCTATTTTTCTGTCGACAACACTTGGCTGTACTTACTTACTTAGGCGATTCCTGGTTGTCCGAGTAGGATGGTCCTCCAGGGTTAGTGTGCAGTGTGCGGTGGATCTGTAGGTGACTGTGGAGTCCTATTCTTGATCTGCATCTTCTCCCGCAGTGAGGGCATTGGTTTCCAGGTGGAAGGCGGTCCTGGTCGGGGTTGGATTGATGCACCTTCCTCTTGACATGTTCCTCTCTTCCGCCCTCCATTCATGCCTCCTTAAATTCCACAGCACTGCTGGTCACAGCTGACCTCCAACTGGAGCTCTCAAGGGCCAGGGCTTCCCAGTTCTCAGTGTCTATGCCAGAGTTTTTAAGGTTGGCTTTGAGCCCATCTTTCAATCTCTTTTCCTGTCCTCCAACATTCTATTTTCCATACTTGAGTTCGGAGTCGAGCAACTGCTTTGGGAGATGGTGGTCGGGCATCCGGAAAACGTCACTGGTCCAGCGGAGTTGATGGCAGAGGACCATCACTTCAGTGCTGGTAGTCTTTGCTTCTTCCAGGATGCTGAAATTTGTCCGCTTGTCTTCCCAAGAGATTTGCAGGATTTTCCAGAGGCAGCGCTGATGGAATCATTCCAGGAGTTGCGTGTGACGTCTGTAGACAGTCCATGTTTCGCAGGCATAGAGCAGGGTTGGGAGGGCAATGGCTTTATAAACAAGCACCTTGGTATCCCTACAGATGTTCTGGTCCTCAAACACTCTCTGCTTCATTCGGAAAAATGCTGCACTCACAGAGCCCAGGCGGTGTTGTATTTCGGTGTCAATGTTGACTGGGCTGTATAGATAAGTGGATTGTATTTCTTTATTTCCTTTATTCCTTTATACTCTGCCCAGGCTTCTTGCTGCAGTTGTAGACCATAATTGGCTTGTCGTCTCTGTTTGCCAGGTGGCTGCAGCTCTTCCTGTCTTTCATCAAGCTTTCTGACAAACGGGCCCGCTACGCCATGAACTTGCTGATCGGCTTAATCGCAGAGGATAAGTAAGTCCTGCTCCTTAAATTCCACACGCCTGGAGAAGTGAGTTCAACACTTAACTCAATACATACTGAGATAGATGACAAAAACATAGGTAGTTTCCCCAGAGCAGGTTGTTTGTCCTGAGTCAAGGAAGACTGAGGTGAGGCACCCTTTACAAGTTGAGAAGGAATCAATTCAGAAGAGTCCAAGATCTCGCACAGCATAGTGGAAAAGCTTTGTTTTCATGCGTCCTCCCTCTCCCTCAAATCCTAAAATCCACTCTTGTTTCACTAACAGGTTCAAAATCCAGTGCCGCATCAAGCTTTCCACGGAGGCTTTGCCACTCTTCATAGAGTTGCTGGTAGGAAAATCTCCCTCCCTGAATTTTGCTGCAGTTTCTATATTGAATCTTTGTCTGGAGAGAGGAATGAGGGGAGGAAATGCACAACTGAGATGTTTTCTGTAGACAGTTTTGGATCCTCAGATCAGTCGGATGAATGGTCAAGGCAGCTACTGTGGTGATGGCTTGAGTCTATAGCAAGCTGGGAATTTGGTTTTGTTTGGTTTTGCTTTAGCCTTGCGTCGTGTCTTGAACGGTCCAAAGCCACCTGCTTTGTAGGTGTTTGACTGTGGAATTAATAATGTGAGGAGAAAGAATAATACCCTGTTCTCTGCAGTTCTGTGATTTTCTTCTGCAAGGCTTGTGGCATTGAGTGAAAGAATTGCCTCACATCCCAAAGCCTCCTCTCTTTCTTTCCTTGCACAGTGGCCCAACATCTCTTCCTTTGGACTTTTAAAGTAGGAAATAATAATTAGAAAACTCAGTCAAGTAATTAATAATAATAATAATAATAATAGGATTTAAAAATCAAACTGCAAAGACTCTGGCACAAACCACTAAAGGTGGTCCCAGTGGTGATCGGCACACTGGGTGCAGTGCCTAAAGACCTTGGCCTGCACTTAAACACAATTGGCACTGACAAGATTACCATCTGCCAGCTGCAAAAGGCTACCTTACTGGGATCTGCACACATTATTCGCCGATACATCACACAGTCCTAGACACTTGGGAAGTGCCCGACATGTGATCCAATTCAACAGCCAGCAGAGTGGAGCCCCGGTGGCACAGAGGGTTAAACCCCTGTGCCGGCAAGACCGACAGGTCACAAGTTTGAATCCAGGGAGAGGCGGATGAGCTCCCTCTATCAGCTCCAGCTCCTTATGTGGGGACATGAGAGAAGCCTCCCACAAGGATGATAAAAACATAAAAATCATCCAGGTGTCCCCTGGGCAACGTCCTTGCAGACGGCCAATTCTCTCACACCAGAAGCGACTTGCAGTTTCTCAAGTCACTCCCGACATGACAAAAAAAAAAGCCAGCAGAGTGTCTGCTGTGGACACATCTTGTTGTTTTTCAATAATAATAATAATAATAATAAAGAGCGAATACTGTAAAAACACTGTCCAGAGCAGAACAAAAAACAGGCAAAAAAAGGCTCTCCATGGACAGTTTCTGGCAAAAATTGAGAGCCAAATTGACATAGAAAAAACATGGCTGTGGTTCACAAATGGAACACTGAAAAAGGAGACAAAGGAGGGCCTGATTCTGGCAGCCCAAGAACAAGACATTCAAACCAAGGTCATCCAAGCCAGAATTGAAAAGTCGACAACAGATCCCAAGTGTAGACTCTGCAAGGAAGCAGATGAAACAATGGATCACATCCTCAGCTGCTGCAAGAAGATCGCACAGACAGACTACAAGCAGAGGCACAACACCTTGCTCAGATGATTCATTGGAACTTGTGCCACAAACACCATCTGCCTGCGACAAAGAACTGGTGGGATCACGAGCTGGAAAGAGTTACAGAGAATGAACACGTCAAGCTACTCTGGGACTTCCGGATTCAGACAGACAGAGCATTGGAGCATAATGCTCCTGACTTCATGATCGTGTTAAAAAACAAAGTATGGATTGTCGATGTTGCAATCCCAGGTGACAGCAGGATTGAAGAGAAACAACTGGAACAGCTGACACAATATGAGGATTTAAAGATGGACCTGCAAAGCCTCTGACCTTGTCTGCTGTGGACTCATCTTGTTGTGTTTCAAATAATGATAATAATAATAATAATAATAATAATAATAATAATAATAATAATAAGATTTAAAGATCAAACTGAAGACTCTGGCACAAGCCTGTAAAGGTGATCCCAGTGGTGATCGGCACACTGGGTGCAGTGCCTCAAGACCTTGGCCTGCACTTAAACACAATCAGCGCTGACAAGATCACCATCTGTCAGCTGTAAAAGGCCACCTTACTGGGATCTGCACACATTATATGCCAATACATCACACAGTCCTAGACACTTGGGAAGTGTCCAACGTGTGGTCCAATACAACAGCCAGCAGAGTGACCTTGTTTGTTGTGTACTCATCTTGTTATGTTTCAAATAATAATACACTTTATTTATATTCCACTTTATTTCTCTGGAGGGACTCAGAGCAAATTACAGTTGTACATATATAAGGGAAACATTCAATGTCTTTTTACACAGTAAACAACGACATACAATACACAGACAAAGGTAAAGGCCTTCCCCTTTCCATTTCTGGCATTGGGAGGCTGTGCTCAACTCCAGCCATGGGGAGGTGCTCTTGTTCCATTTTTTTCATGCTGAGGAGCCTGTTGTTCATAGGTTTTCTCTTATCATTGCTGGCATGTCTGCATGTGGCACCCTTTACCACCCAAGCTGAGGTGGTACCTATTGATCTACTCACATTACATGCTTTTGAACTGCTAGTAGGT